ATAATAAAAAAAAAGTATGAGATTTTTAAAAAATGGAGAGGTATGAGTTGAATAATATTAGAGTTAGATCAGTTTGGAATGGGAATGACTGGACTCAGAATAATCATTAATGAGTTGATTTAAACTTGGAGGGCGGTCTCTAATGGATGTTCTCAGTATCTATATTTTGTTCCACATTATTAAACATTTTTTTTAAGTGAGGCAATTGGGGTTAAGTGACTTGCCCAAGGTCACACAGCTAGAAAGTGTTATATGTCTGAGATCGGATTTGAACTCAGGTCCTCCTGACTCCAAGGTTGGTGCTCTATCCACTGTGCCACCTAGTTGCCCCAACATTTTTCTTACTAACATTAGTGATGACATGCTTTTAAAACTTGAAAACAATACAGTTAAGTGAAAAGAATGATAGAATAAGAATGTAAACAAATTTGACAGACTAGAATGCTGGGGTAACTCTAATAAGCCTTCCAGTTCTGGACTTTCCCAGGGTCTTCTCCAGAGCTGGACTCAAGCAGCCATCTGTGTAAAAGCAGCCAAGTCATACATATTTCCCAGTTTCAGTGGCTTCCAGAGACTTTTCCAGTGCTGACCCAACTTCTTCCCTCATATTAGGAGACATTGACATACATACTGATGTTCCCTCAATTATCTTAACTTCCTAATTCATCAGTCTACTTATATTCCATGACCTCTTCCTCCACAACTCAACTACAGACAAAAATGGTCATACCATTCATCTTGCTAATACCCACAAATGTTCCACTTTTGTGTTCATAAAATTTGAAGTTCATTTATTTGATTATAATCTATAATTCCATTTTCCTTACATTTTATGACCCCTAACCTAGTCTTCATTCTCACCATAATCTCCAAAGCTCCACATCTCAGTTTTTTCTTAAGCCATCACCTGTGTATCTGTCCCTTTCTATTCTTAACCCCTTGGGGAACCATTTCAACTCTTCAACAACCTCTACCCTTGAATCCCTTGTCATTTCACCAGTCATATCAAATCAAACCCCAACCCTGGATTAATTTTACCATCTACTCCCTTGCACTTATACACATGGTCCTGAATAGAGATAGAGAAAATAATTGAATCATGCTGGCTTAATCCACCACAAATTAATGTTACACAGTCTCAAATGGGCCCTCACTACAGCAAGGCAATCTTACTAATCCCTATTTAATTCATTATCCCACTCACCACAGCAGCTATTCAAAACAATCTCTTTTCTCCTCAAGCTTCCCATAACACTGCTAACCCCTACTTTCTCTTCTGATAACCTTCCCTCATATTTAATGCCCCCCTCCAATTGAGGCTACTTGTCAAGAGTTTTATTTTCTCTCTTTATCCTCATTTCATCATTAAGACACCTTCTACCATTATTTTATTCTCCACCTCTGTCTTACATAAAAAGAATCCTGAGAAGGACACTCCTCAACATGCAGCCTTGATAGCATAACCTTCTGCTTTCTCTAGCATATTATCTCTTATATCATCCCTATTCCTCACTCTCACTAATCTCTAATCTCTCTCTATCTACTGGCTCCTTCCCTGCTGCCTACAAACACATTCATGTCTGTCCCATCCTTAAAAAAAAATCTTACTTGATCCCAGTATTGCCCCCATTTATCATCCCATATCTCTTCCTTTTTTGATATTCATAAATACATGTAATATATATGAATCTATAGAGAAAGAAAGAGAAAAGAGAAAGCACATGTGGGAAATAATGTGAGAGGCCAAGTCATCATCATCATCATCATCATCATCATCATCATCATCATCATCATATAACCCATACATATTATGTATCTTCTATATACCAAGTTGTTTATATGTTATTTCTCCGATTCTAATGTTAGCTCCTTGAGGGCAGAGAGTGTTTTTAATTTTCTTTGTAACCTCAGTGATTAGCACAGTGCCTGGCACATTAAATGTTTCTTATTGATTGATAATAAAGATAAGTATAAAGTCCTATGTATGAGTTCAAAAATTCAACTTTAGATGCTCAAGATAAGAGAGGCATAACTAGACAACAATTCATCTCAAAGAAGAGTCAGAGGTTTTAGTAATATGAAAACTCAATGTGAAGCCAGAGTGATAGACAGCCTTCCTCCCCCCCCCATCAAAAAAAATTAGAAACAGCCTGAATTAAGAGAGTCCTAGTGTCTGGGATTAGGAAGGTAATAGTCCTGATTTACTCTGCTCTAGTCAAATCTGAAGTGTTGAATTTAGCTATGGGTATCATATTTTAGGAGTCACATCAATAAACTTGAGAACATGAAGAGGAGGGCAACCAATATGATGAAAGGACAAGGGACCATTCCATATGGAGTTCAATTGAAGTAACAATGGTATTGATGCTGAATAAGAGAATGTGTATTTTGGGTGTGTGGTAGATGCCACCAAGTTATTTGAAAGGATTAGGTATGTTCCATTTTGTCCTAGAGAATAGAATTATAAACTTGGGTGGAAATTGCAGAGGATGAATTTGGGCTCAGTGTAATGAAAACTTCCTTACAATTAGATCTAGCAAACTGAAGAATAGTATATCTTAGAAGTGTCATCTCATTTAAAGTCATTTGAACCAGGATAACCCAATTGGAGATGTGAGGGTCTTCTTGGCTGGGCATGGATTGTTCTACTTGCTCTCTAAAGTCCATTGCAATTATGTGATTAATGCTCTATTTATTGTGAGCCAATAAGGTAACATGGAAACAGCACTGTCCTTGGCATCATAAGACCTGGGTTAAAGGTCCAGGTACACCACTTACTGGCCATGTGATCATGGGCAAATATTATTGTGCTACCTACTTCACAAAGGTTAATGTGAAGATAGCACTGGATAAACTCAAAAGCACTATACAAAGTGAGTTATTATTATTGTTATATTCCATCCCTTTTGGAATTTGCTCTTTTCTTTGTGTTCAAAATTCCTGTTTCACTATTTCAAAGTTCCCTTTTCCAGGTTATGGATCGTTGGACTTTTCTTTTTCACCTTGTTCTGGTAGTATGAGTAAATAAGTCTCACTGTTCTGTGTACTCTTTAAGTTCAAGTACCTTTCTCAAGTATTAGTATTTTTCAGGCAAGTTTATTATGTTACATGGAGGAAAAGAATAAATTTAGTGGAAGTAAAGAATTACAGGAAATAGACAACATCATGTAGTTCATAGGACCTTGCATTTAGAGTCAGAAAGATTTAAGTTCACATCCCACCTCAGACATTTAATAGTTGTATAACACTGGACAATCCATTTCAACTCTTCAATAATCATTTTCTCACATAAAATGAGAGTGTTAAGCTTGAGGGCCTCTTAGGGTCCCTTCCACCTCTAAATTTATGATCCTATATATTTGCTGTAATCCTATGGTTATCTCTGATCAAGGAGGACATGGATTCCTTCTCATTTGAAATTTTCAAGAAAAACTTGGATGATCACTCCTCATGAAGAATCTTCTGAAGAAAAGAAGAAACCTAAGGGCATTAGATAGCTGATATAGGCCTGTTATTTGGCCTAAAGGGGTTTGTGCTTGGGGTTGAGTACCTCCTGCTTGAGAAATGGAAAATCTCAGAACCTAGATGCTGAGGGACAAAACAAAGGAAGTTTCTGATGGTCCCAGAACAAGGCATTTCCTTCCTTTTCTATAATATCTGGGTAAAAATAAAGGCTGCATCCTAGCCAAGGATTTTAGCTGATCCAGAATCTAGAGGTAGTGTAGACTACATGTCCAACAGAAAGCAGCCAGAATCCATTACAGTACCCAGTGAAGCAATGTTTCGCAAAACAATATCCTGTAGATAGAGAGAGCAGCAGCATCCTTTGGAGGCCGCAAGAATATTGGTCTGTGTATAGCCATGACTAAAAGAATGAAGACCATGAGATCAGAGTCAATAGGAACTGCACTCTTATAAAATGACACTGGTAACTCTGTAGCATTGTATATATGAGTTGCCCTTCTATGTGTGTGCCCTGGCCACAGATGTTCTTTGACCACATATACTTCTCATGTATACATTCCTCTAGATGTATACTCTAATCAATTGTGTCTCGTAAATGTGTGCCTCTCCTTGTGTTTTATCTTTATGTGCCCACTATTTTTCTTGTTTTTATTTTAGGGAGATGATACCCCATGTTTATGGGTGAATGTTTTGTTGCTACTTTTCTTATTATACCATGCCATTCTAGCAAATGCCTCTTGTTTTGAGTGAATTGTGTGCTCTGTCTGACTATTAAAAAAACACACATTGGTAAGGGCTCATAAACTATAATTTTAGGGTTGTAGACTCACAGCATACATAGTGTACTCTAAAATTGGAGTAACCACTCCCTAAGAGATTTACTCCCTATGAGTTGGGGGAGGATGCCTCATGCTCTATAAATAAAATGATTAGTGTATAAAGAAGAAAACTTTAACGTTTCTGGAACTGGCAACCAAGAGAAGAAGTATCAGGGGAATCAAAAAGAGTATCAGGGGAAGGTGCAGTAGGTATATTTTGTATCCAGATTCAAATTTGCTTCCTGACCATAATCTATGTACTAGTTGTCTCTCTTTCTTTATAATGTATGTATATAATGTGTGTCTACTCCAAAGTAGGTAAATGGGAATGTAAGTTGGTAGGAGGAGTGGGAACAGTGAAAGGTGAATGTCTCTGGGAAAGGAATGGAGACAGTTTACCTAGACAGAAAACACAATAGTCTGGGAAGAAAAGAGAATGAAAAGGGGTGAAATTTATAGTTACAGGGCAAAAAAAGTACAGAGGAAGAACTGGCATGGTTTGATTCAGTGGGTGGTGAAGATACTCCCTTAGGATCTATTTCAGTCTGATGCTTGATCTGCCAACCCAGTCACTTTCCCCTTCCTTTTACATTATTCTGTGTGAATGTCCATGACAAACAATAGACTAGTAGAATGACAATGACCCTATGCACACCTTACTAACATATTTTGGTCCAAAGAGAGTATTAGCATGATGACTACTTATTTGTTCTCCAGTTCCAGGGTTCTGGTCAGTAAGATATGGCCTGGCCATCATCATACACTTCTGTCTATTTGTAACTACCTCACAAAATTTGAGTCTGAGCATCGCCATTGTTGCCATGGTGAACAGCACATGCCAGTCTAATCAGACCAGTGTTTCCAGGAAGGGGCAGCCTGATGTCACTCTGGATGCAGGGGTAAGTTGATAGCAGATTCATCTTCTTTTATTGATTGATTCATTCCCAAACCATGTATTTTGTCTACCATATGTGATACACTGTGCTAGACCCTGGAAGTCATACAGATACAATAGAGGGAGGGACTCCACTACACAGACTAATAAGTAATGAACTTAAGGCCCTTCACCATCCTGTTTGCCCTGTTCTAGTCACTTTCCAGTTTATCAATGTCCTTAAACCATAGTGCTCAGAACCGAACACAATACTCCAGGTGAAGTTTGACAATGAAAAAATACAATGAGATTATCACCCCTTCATTCCTGGAAGTGATCTCCCTTCTAATGCAATAAAATATTGCATTATTACATTAGTAGGCAACTGGTAGCACAGTGGATAGAGCATCGGGCCTGGACTCAGGAAGACTCAAGCTCAAATCTAGCCCCAGATATTTACTTGCTGTGTGACCCTGGGAAAATCACTTAACTATTGTTTTTCTCAGTTTCCTTAACTGTAAACTGAGAATAATTATGGCATCTATTCCTCAGGGTTGTTATGAGATCAAATATGATAATATTTGTAGGGATAGCTAGGTGGCTCAGTGGATAGAGCACTGACCCTGGATTCAGGAGGACCTGAGTTCAAATCTGGCCTCAGACACATAACACTTACTAGCTGTGTGACCTTGGGCAAGTCACTTAACCTCAATTGCTTTGCTGAGAGAGAGAGAGAGAGAGAGAGAGAGAGAGAGAGAGAGAGAGAGAGAGCTAATATTTGTAAAAAGTGCTTAGGGAAAAAATAATTAATTATTTATTTAAGGGGGGCAGCTAGGTGGCACAGTAGATAGAGCACCAGCCCTGAAGTCAGGAGGACCTGAGTTCAAATCCAGCCTCAGACCAAACACTTGACACTTACTAGCTGTGTGACCCTGGGCAAGTCACTTAACCCCAATTGCCTGCCATTAACTTTTCTGGCTGTTATATCATGCTACTGATTCATGCAGAGCTTGCAGTCCAGTAAAACTCCGAAATCCTTTTCAAAACAACTATTGTCTATCTATTGTGGTCTATTTCCCATCCTGTCTTCATGAAGATGATTTTTTGTACCTGTGCAAGACCTGTGTTTATCCCTATTGAACTTCATCTCATTAGATTCAGCACAATGCTCCAACCTGTCAACCTCCTTTAGGTTCCTGACTCAATCACCTAGTATGTTAACTATCCTTCCCAGTTATCCTTCCCACATCTTATGCAGATTTAATGAGCATACTATTGTGCCTTTATGGAAAAGAATGTTAAGTGGCACAGGGCCAAGCACCGATTCCTGGGGCACTTCACTGGAAACCTCTTGTCATGTTGGTACTGAACTAAAAACAACCATTCTTGGAGTTCACCCATCCAACCAGTTCTGCATCCACCTGATTCACATATCTCCATCTTATCCATAAGAATAATCATATACTTTATGGAAGTTAACATTTTATTAGGAGCAAGGGGCTGAAGTTTTTGCAAGGTGATTTGAATAAAGAGAGAGTGCAAACAACAGGGGGGTTTGGGGAAAGATTACTGTGGGACTCTGGACAAATCACTTAACCTGCCTTTGTCTCAGTTGCCTCATCTGTAAAATAAGGATAATAATAGTACCTACCTGTCAGAATTGTTGTGAAGATCAAATGAGAAAATACACGTAGAGTGATTTAGTACAGTGTCTGACACATAGTGTCATAAAATGTCAGTTATTTTTGATGGTGATGGTGGTGGTGGTGGTGGATTTTGACTTAAGCTTTGAAAGAAGACACAGATTTGGAGAGATTAAGATGAAGAAAAAGTACATTCTAGAGTGGCAAATGGCATGTTCAAGGGGAGGGAGAAATTCAATAAATTACTAGGGCTGCAATATAGAGTTTATGAAGCAGGCATACATGTGAACAAAGAGTTATAATAATAAGCATAGTTAATATTTATATAGCACTTCAACATTGTCAAAGCATTTTGCACATGATATCTCATTTAATCTTCAGAACAACTCTGTGAGGTAGATACTACCATTATCCTCATTTTATTGATGAAGAAACTGAGACTGAGACAGGTTAAATGACTTTCTTATGGTGGCATAATAAGTATATAACCAGTAAAGGGCAGAATTGAAATTCTGGCCTTTTTGATTCTAAGTCCAGAAATATATCCACTCTACCCCCTGGCTGCTTATTTGAAAGACTGGTGAAAAGGTAGTTTGCAGTCAGATTTGTCAAAGGCTTTGATTTCAATTAGTAAAGTTTTTTTTTCCTCTAAGCAATGAGGAGCTACGAAATGTTTAGGGTCAGGGTGGTGATATAGTCAAGCCTATCCTTGGAAAAATTATTTGCCATCATTGCAAATGAATTATCAATCAATAAGTCAATAAGCATTTATTAAGCACCAACTGTGTGCCCTGCACTGTGCTGAGTACTGGAGATACAAAGAAAGACAAAAGATAGTCCATGCCCTGAAGAAGCTCACAATCTAATGGGGGAGATAACAAGCAAACAAATGCATACAAACAAGATACAGACTGTATACATGGGAGATAATCAACCAAGCGAAGGAAGTAGAGTTAAGAAGGGTTGGTAAAGGTTTCCTGTAGAAGGCAGGATTTTAGTTGGAACTTAAAATGAGAGAATCCAGGAGGTGGAGATGAAGAGATGGAAAGAACAATTACAAGGCTATTACAATAGTCTAGAGGGGAGGTTGTGAGGGCTGCAATTATGGTAATGGCCATGGGAGTGGAGAGAAATTGATGGATTTGAGAGATAATTTGAAGGTAGGATCCATGAGACTAACAAATTGACTGGATATTAGAAATAAAGGAGAGAGAAGAGACTCCAAGGGAGGCAATAAACTCCAAGTATATGAACTTAGGATAATAGGAGAAAGGCAGTTCACTCAACAGAAATCAGGAGAATTGGAAGAGGGCAGTGAATTTTATGGCAGTGAATTATAATGAATTCTGTTGAGGTTGAAATATCAAGGAGACAACAAAGAGATATCTAGCATGTAACTGATGCTGTGAGACTTAAGTTCAAGAGAGAGATACAGATTTGGGAGTCACAATGGTACTTGAAATCATGATGAGATGAGATCATTAAAGGAGAGAGTTGAGAGAGAAGAGGACCCGAGGGAGAATTGTGGGGAGCACAGTGTGTATTGCTATAGTAAGGATATGGCATATGAGGTCACAGAATAGGAGAATTGAGAAAAGGTCACTGAGCAGCAGAACCAAAATGATGGAGTGAAAGGAAGAATTTTTATCCTACCTCACCTCCCACACAAAGATGTAGAGAAAGCACCAGACTAAATTCTGATTGGAATAGCCTAGGAGACGTCACAGTGAATTGGTGACAGGGAGCATTACAGCGCTCAGGGATAAAAAGAAGACTGAGGCAGGGAGCAAGAACAGGAAGCAAAGAGGCAAAAAGAGATCTCAGGGTATCCCTGAGCAATCACTGCTTTCAAGAATAGGTTGGGGCTGCTGGGTGGCGCAGGTGATAGAGCACTGACCCTGGAGTCAGGAGGACCTGAGTTCAAATCTGGCCTCAGACACTTGACACTTACTAGATGTGTGACTCTGGGCAAGTCACTTAACCCCATTGCCAACCCACCCCCCAAAAAAAGAATAGGTACCATCTGGCAGCTGTCATCCACCCATTTCTGGATCATGGATCCAGAATAGAGAGGCGTGGTTGTAAACATTGGGCCCTAGTTACGTATTGAGCATGGAACAAGTTCTGGGAGGCAAACAGTAGATGTTTGGCTCTGATGCCAGGAGCAGAGTACAGTATCACAGATCAAAGGGGAGCCAGTGGTTTAATTGCTGTAAACCTGCAAAGCCTCCTTTGGGCCAATAGTGGCTGAAGCAAGTAGCAGTCTACTGAAACTCCCAATCAGGAAAAACAGTAGACCCAAATATGGGTCACTAACTTGGAGAATTCAAACCAGTAAAGCAGTGATCACACCACTTTGGAAGGCACTGAAAGCTTGCAGGCCAATAACCTGAGCTGTCAAAGAACATACATAATCACTACCCTGACCCTAAACATTTAGTGAGTCCTCATTGCTTAGGGGGAAAAAAACATAAATGGGCAGAAGCTCAGGCTAGATATCTCTACAGAAATGTGCAGAGCACTTTGGAACTATGCCCAAAGGGCTATAAAACCATGCATACCCTGTGACCTAGCAATACCACTTTTATATCTATATCAGAAAAGAGATTAAAAAGAAGGAAAAGGACTTATATGTACAAAAGTATTAATAGCAGCACTTTCTGGGGGCCAAGAATTAGAAATTGAGGAGATGCCCATCGATTGGGGAATGGCTGAACAAGTTGTGGTACATAATTATGGTGGAATACTATTGTACTATAAGAAATGATGAGGGGGCAACTAGGTGGGCACAGTGGGTAGAGTACCAGCCCTGGATTCAGGAGGACCTGAGTTCAAATCCAGCCTCAGACACATAACACTTACTAGCTGTGTGACCCTGGACAAGTCACTTAACTCTATCGCCTAGTCAAAAAAAAAGAAGAAAAAAGAAATGATGAGCAGGATGCTCTCAGAAAAACCTGGAAAGACTTGCATGGGCTAATGCAAAATGAAATGTACTGTGTACAAAGTAACAATATTGTGAGATGATCAGCTGTGAATGGCTTAGCTAATCTCAGTAATTCTGAAGGACTTATGAAAAAAGCTATCCATCTCCAGAGAAAGAACTGATGGTGTCTGAATACAGATTGAAGCACACTTTTGTTTAATTTATTTTTCTTGAGTTTTTTTCGGTCTGTGTTTTTCTTTCACAACATGACTATTATGGAAATGTTTTGCATGATTATACATCTATAACCTATATTGAATTGCTTGCCTTCTCAATGGGAGGGAAGAAGGGAGAGAATTTGGAACTCAAAGTTTTAAAAATGAATGTTAAAAATGGTTTTTATATGTAACTTGGAAAAATAAAATATTAAGCAAAGGAAAAAAAAGAAATTATATCTCCTTGTCTTGCAGGTCCCTGCATATGACTGGAGTCCGGAAATTCAGGGGATAATTCTCAGTTCCATCACCTATGGTCAAATCATCACATTAACCCCAAGTGGATACTTTGCTGGAGTACTTGGAGCAAGGAAAATCTTCATGATTGGATTGTTCATCTCCTCTGTTCTGAGTTTCTTAATACCGTTAGCAGCAGCTCAAGGAGTGGCTTACATCATTCTGACAAGGACGGCCCAAGGTTTGGCCCAGGTAGTAAGACATGTGCTAAGCCTAACTAGCATCCAGTGCTCTTCAACTTTAGGGATTAAAAAGAAAAATCATGATATCTTCCTTTCAGGGGATGGAACTTGGAGCTTCACCATCTTTCTGGGTGAAATGGGCTCCACCACTGGAACGGAGTCGAATAAGTAGCATTACTTCATCTGGTAAGAAGTCAAAATGGCGGCAGTTGTGTTACATTTCCTTGTCTCTTTGTCACTGTGTCTTCCATTTTTGGTTCACTGAGAAAGCAACTCCTCAAAATAAGACTATAAATAGAAGGAGAATCCTGGATCCTGAATGTTTGTGTTCTTTCCTCTCGATTGGCTTCAATGTTGTGTGACTTTAAAATGCTCATTGTTTGCTTTCACTTTGTCCAATGGGCAACAGTTAACCTAATAATTTTTAACTTCCAATACCATTACTCATAACTTACTTGCTATCATGTATTCAGGTACAATTTTGGGAATCTTCACTGTTCTCCTTGTGGGTGGATTCATCTGTCAATCCTTAGGTTGGCCATACATCTTTTATATCTTTGGTAAGTTATTTCCTCTCAAATCTAAATGTTTCCATTTTTGAAGGAAATACTCCTTTGTGATTGTTTTTAAAAAGCTGACATTCATATAGTACTCACCATGTGCCAAGTACTGTGTTAGGCACTTTACAATTATTATCTCATTTAATTCACGCAACCCTGAGAGATAGGTGCTATTATTATCCCCATTTTATAGATGAGGAAACTCAGGCAAACAGAGTGTGACTTGCCCAAGGTCACATAGCTAATAAGGGTCTGAGGCTAGATTTGAAGTCCAGTCTTCCAGACTCTAGGTCTGACACTCTAACTAACCTCTGTGCCACCTAGCTAATATCCAGGGTTATCCCACATAAAAAGTTAACATATCATTGAAGATAAAAATACAAACTTGTAAAATGTCTTGTTTAATCTTGTTATATAAATGAGGGAACTGAGACTCAGAAAGATAAAGTGGATTTGTTCCACCTTTCCACAGAAAGACTTTAGAGGTAGAATGGGGACAAAAATCTCAATCTGCTGACTATTGGTCCAGTGCTCTTTCTATCATCAGTGACTTATCTATTTTTTAAATCTGCCTGCAAGATTAAATCACTACCAATTCTACAAACCTAGCATTCCATCTACTGCCCCTATACATCCACACCAACTGTACCCTAAGGTTGAAAAGGACATTTACCTCATGCCTGTCAAAATGCTTTTCTCCCTTTATCTCAGGTCAGATGTCATGTCCTCCATGAAGCCTTCTTTGACTCCTTCTCCCCCTTCCAAATTTTTATAATTGTATTGTATTCCCCCACATGAATGTAAACTCCATGAGAGTAGGGACTGTTTAATTTTGTCTCTGTATTGACACAACCTAACCTGGTGCTTTGTACATGATAGGTGTTTAAAGAATATGTGTTAAATTAAATGGAATTGAAAGTCACTTATCAAAGCTATGGAGCTACTTGCCCTCTCCTTATAGTCTTCTTGGCTGCTATCTATGGAGAAGAAACCCCCTCTCAACCTGTTACCATATGTTATTCATTATTGGCTTACTATGTGTAGGATTTGTGATTTTGTACATGATGGAAAATTCCATTTTGGAAATTCCCTACACCAGAGCTGATCATAGTCCATCAATAACTTTGTTCATAAGTTATGTGCCTAAGGCATACAGGAATTAAGTAATTTGCCCATGGTGGCATAGCAACTAAGTGTAGGTGGTAAGATTTGAACCCAAGTTTTCCTGATTCAAAGGTGAACACTCTATCCACCATGCTATCCAATATTAATTACCATATAGAAATCCATACCAGCTGAACTCTCCATCACTACTGAGGACATGAATAAATTGGGGCAATTAACTAAGAAGCACGAGGAGGTGCTGCTGATGAAATGTGCAAAAGCACAGTCTCTACTCTGATATTACATGACTCAAGGACTGGAGGTGTCTTTCACCCATATGACTTAACTATCCACCATTACACCTGTGATTCAGAATAATCACATATGTTATGACTATCACCTTCATTTTCTCTCTCTCTCTCTTTCTCTCTCTCTCTCTCTCTCTCTCACACACACACACACACCATATATATATACATATACATATACATATACATTTACATATACATATACATATACATAGTCTTTTGTCTGAGTTACAGAACCTCATTACCTGCTTATTACACATCACCATAGGCATAAAACCAACATGTCCCAAACAAAACTTATTATCTTCTTCCCAAGATCCATTCCTATTTCTAAATTCACTATTTCTGTCTAATGTGCTACTATACTTCTCTTCATTCAGGCTTGCAGCTTTAAAGTCATTCCTGGATCTGTCTCTCCTTCATGTCCCATATCCAATCAGTTGCTAACTATTGCCAATTGATTAACTCAGGCAGGCAATAGACAGTAAGTACTTGCTATATGCCAGATACTGTGCTAAGTTCTGGGTATGTAAACAAAGGTTAAAGGCAGTCCTTGCCCTCAAGGATGGCAGTTGGGTAGCACAATGGATAGAGTGCTAGGCCTAATCAAGAAGACTCATCTTCCTGAGTTCAAATTTGGCCTCAGACACTTACTAGCTGTGTGATCCTAGGCAAGTCACTTAATCCTGTTTGCCTTAATAAATGAGCTAGAGAAGGAAATGGCAAACCACTGTAGTATCTTTGCCAAGAAGACCCCAAATGGGGTCATGAAAAGCCAGATATGACTGAAACAACTGAACGACAACAGTCCTCATGGGGCCCATAATCTAATGGGGAAACAATAAGCAAATAAATTTGTACAAACAAGCTAGATACAGGATAAATATGAAACAATTAACAGAGAGAAGGCACTAGAACTAAGAGTGGTTGGGATGAGATTTTAGTTGGGACTTGAAAGAAGCCTGGAAAGCCAGGAGACAGAGGAGGAGGGAGACCATTCCAGGTACAAGGTACCACCAAAAAAATGCCTGAAGTCAAGAGATTGAATGTTTGGTTCATGGGACAACAAGCAGGCCAATGTCACATTATCAATGAGTACCTGGTGGGAAGAAAGGTTTAAAAAGACCAGAAAAGTTGGTGGGGAGAGGGGTAGATTATGAAGAGCTTTGAATGCCAAATAGAGAGTTTTATATTTGATCCTGAAAGTTATAGGATGTCACCAGAGTTTTGTGTGTGTGTGTGTGTGTGTGTGTGTGTGTGCATGTGTGTGTATGACATTGTTGAACCTACATTTAGGAAAAACACTTTGGCAGCTTAATGGAGGATGGATTGTAATGGGGAGAGATTTGCAGCAGGTCTACCTACCAGCAGGCTAGTGCAATAGGCCAGGCACAGTAATAAGGTAATGAGGGTCTACACCAGGATGGTTGCAGTATTAGAGGAGAGGAGTGCATATTCAAGAGATATTGCAATGGTGAAATTGACAGGCCTTGGTAACAGATAGATATGAAGCAGGGGTGAGAGATGGTGAGGAGTCAAGGAGGACACTTAGGTTGTAAGCCTGGGGGACTGGGAGGATGGTGGTGTTTTCTACAATTATAAAAAAAAGTTTGAAAAGGGGATGGGTTTAGGAGAAAAGATAATGAGTTCAGTTTTGTGTATGTTGAGTTTAAGGTGTCTAGTTTGAGATATCCATTTTGAGATGTTTGAAAGACAGTAGGAGATGCAAGATTTCAAGTCAGCAAATAGGTTAGGGGAGGAGATGTGGATTTAAGAATCTGAACAGACATGATACTTAAATTCATGAGATCTGATGAGATCACACAATGAAGTAGTATAGAAAGAGAAGAGAAGACCCAAAATAGTACCCTAGGATACCTAAGGTTAGAGGGCATGACTTAGATGAAGATCCAGCAAAGGAGACCAAAAAAGATTGGTCTAATAGGTAGGAGAATCAGGAGAATGTGGTGCCTTAAAATCCTAGAGAGATATTTTCTGCATTTTAAAATTTTGAGTGGAATGTCTCGTTATCTTTTCTTCTGTGTTTTTTTTGCTAGTATTATATAGGAATGGTGATGATTTTTGTCGATGTATTTTGTATCTTGCCAGCTTGCTGAAGCTATTAATTATCTCAATTAGTTTCTCCACTGCTTCTCTAGGGTTTTCTAAGTGCACCATCATTTCATCATATGGATAGTTTGGCTCTTCTTTGTTAAGATGTATACCTTTACTTTTGTTTTCTTGTCTTACTGCTATAGATGCCATTTCTAGAATCATATCAAATAATGATGGGGACAGGGATACCCTTCCTTTACCCTCTAGTTGTACTGGGAAAGCTCATAAAGTTTCTTCACTGCAAACAGTGCTAGCTCTTGGTTTTTAATATATATATTTTTAATCTTATTAAAAGGTGCCATTTCATACCTATGTATTTTAAAGTTTTTGATCTAACTGTGCACTGCATTTTGTCAAAGGACTTTCTTTCTGAATCAACTGAAATAATCATGTAACTTTACCTTTGTTATATATATGATTTCTCATGTTACTTTTTCTTCTTATATTGAACCATCTTTGCATTCCCAGTACCTGGGATTTTGGCCACATCTCTGCTAGAGTTTTTCCTTTAATAATAACTTCCAGTGGTTTGAGTAATTGCTATTTCCAGGACTTTTTGAGGACAGGCTTCCAGACAAACTTCTGCTTCACTCCCCTGCCAGGAAAACTAATGGGATCTGATAGGAAGTGGTAGTTAAAGTTGACTCACCCAGTACATGCCACTCTCATTTTGTCCCTCAGAGGACCTTGCTGCTCTAGCCAGTCTGGATTGCCTGCCCCACAGGTAACATTTGGCTGGCATTGGTGGTGGCAGTAGCTGGGATTATAGAGCCATTTTTCTTATATGTTGCTTTCCTAGATAACGTCTGAAGGGGATAATTGGTAACAGAGCTAGTGGTCTGGGCGGGGACTCTGCTATTCCAAGAACTTTTGGGCTTATCTGTCCACCAATAACAGTAGATACTAGTGGTGTTTGGGATAGAAGGGAAACAGTCAGTTATTACATATTATTCACCCTGACACACTCAATATTCCAGTCAAATTCGCCTACTATTGGTGCTCCAAATATGGCTTATTCCCCATTCCTGGAATGAACTTCTTCACATCAACCTCTTAGAATCCTTAGCCTCCTTCAAGGCTCTGTTCTTGTGTCACTTTCTAGATGAGGCCACTCCTGATTTGTTCAATTCTTAATAACCCCTCCTGAAATGATTTTGATGCATTTTATATCGACTTTTCTGTGAATATCATCATTTCCTACAGTAGAATGTAAACTCCTTGCATACAAGGACTGCTTCATTTTTCTCTTTGTAATTTTAATTCTGGGCACAGTACCTTACATATATATTAACTATTTAGTAAATAATTATTGGATGAATGGGTGACCCATGAATCTCTGTTTTGTTCTGTGTCATTTAATAGTATTATAAGTGACTTAGGAAAAAATCAGGACTGCATTCTTATTCCATTGTTATGTTGACACAGAATGGGGAGGTATAGCTAACACACTAGATGGCAGTTGGCATCCAAAAATATCTTGACAGGCTGGAACACTGGGTTGCATCTAAAAAGATGAATGAATGGAAATAAAATCTATTATTTTAGTTTTTTTTGTCAGCTTTATGAGCACAAGATGGGGGAAGGGTTCTTAGATAATAGTTTGCCTGAAAAATAGATCTTGGGGTTTTGTTGGACTACAACCTCCATATACATCCATATAATGGTATGGCAACTTAAGAAACTAATACAGTTCTAGGCTACATTAAGAGAGAATATGGACCATACTGTGGCCTCTTTAGACCATGTTCAGACTATTCTTTTGGGGGCAACTTATTTTGAGAGGACTAAGACACTTAGTATTCTAGAGCTTATCTAGAGGACAGCAATAAGGACAATGAACATCTCAAATTTATGCCCTATGAGAATCAGTTGAAGGGACTGGAATTTGAAGAGAGGCTCGGGATGGACACGATAGTGTGGTGGGTGGTAGTGGGTGTTGGGTAAACTGTGCTGACTCCATCTTATGACTCAATTCTGGATCTAGCTCAGTTTCCTTTCTATTTAATTATGGGTCTAGTCCAATTTCTGTCTTGTGAAAACTTTATTCAATGGTGGGAATTGCAAAAAAAAAAATTATTGTGTTGTTTGAACCTAGTCCTAAAAGGCTGGGAAACTGTACCATGTCTGTCTGCTGCTTAGAGACCCTTAACTAAGCACCTAGGTTATCCTTACCAGAAACCCAGTCAGGTCTAAATATTGATGCAAGGAGTTTTCTCACAATTATACATCTCAAGCAACCCATACTTCTTATCTTAAAACTGGCGCTGTACTGACGAATCAGTTATTATTTCCATGTTCCTTTGATTGTTTACAGATACTTGGAGGGGTCAGAGTGGGACATCTCTTTTTCTGATTTCAGGGAATCCAACCCGTTTGTTCTCCCCCTCTCAACTTGAAAAGTCCCTAATCTTTCCTCCAGTCAGAAATCAGATTACTTAATTTTGTATCCTGATTGTCTTCTTTTAATTAATTGGTAGTGTTTAATTAGTTGTTTTTAAGGTACAGAAATCTGTCTCTCTCTGTATTCCAGGTCAAGTGCCAAAGCTGAGGAGGGCTACTGGTCCTGATTTATTAGGCAGTTGGCCTGCATTGCTTAATAAATCAACATGCTCAGAAGCTCGAACCTCTGGTTCCTCAGTCATTCCATCTTTCATACCATAGTAGTAATCTTTCAATATTTGAAAGGTTGTATCTTGGAAGATAGATTGGGTGTGCTCAGCTTGACCCTCAAAGGCAGAACTAGGAGCAATGACTGAAATGTGCAAAAACATGAACTTAGAGATATAAGGAAAACTTGCAAACATTTAGAAATATCAAAAAACAGAATGGACTGATTCAGGCAGTAGTGTGTTCCCTGATACTACAATTCTTCAGTCAAATGGTAGATAACCACTATTCCTTCATATGTAGATAGAATTCCTTTGCAGGTAGGAATTGAACTGTATTACTTATGAGGTCCCATCAGATTCAGAAATTTTTTGACTCTGATTCTGTGGGATTCCATAAGTCTCAGACTTAAAGACAGAAGTCTATATTCAGAAAAGGAAGAGATGGTGGTTAGAAAGTTGAGATGATAAAGTGGGTTTGGGGGAGAAATGAACAACAAAATACATAAAATGGGTCCATAAGGAGTGAAGGAAATTCTGAACATTGAGGCTATTATATAAAATATAGAGACAGATGTTGGTGATAAAGATATAGATGAAGATGTTGATATAAATTAATATAAAGCTATTGATATACATATAGAGATAAATATTAATGTTGATATGGATTATATAGAGATGATATAGATACAGATATGGAATACATATACATACACATATATATAAACAAATATTATAAAGAGAGAGAGAGAGAGAGAGAGAGAAACTGAACTAGACAAAGATGGGGCAGAATCATATCAGAGGGCAAAATCATCAACATTAACTTTTTATTGTTTTTCCTAGGAGGAATTGGCTGTGTCTGCTGTGTTATTTGGTTTTCTCTAGTTTATGATGATCCTATAAATCATCCCTATATAAGTGAGAGTGAAAAGGAATATATCACTTTTTCATTGGCTGGAGAGGTATGTTAATAAAAGCAGCTAACATTTATATTGTGCTAAATTGTTTACAGGCTTTATAGTAGCAGAAACTGTCCCATTGGGGACCCAACTAGAAATGGCCAGTTGGGCAACATGGCTCTCTCTCTCTCTCTCTGTCTCTCTCTCTCTGTCTCTCTCTTTCTCTTCCTTCCTTTCTTTGTTTCTTCATAGGGTATCATACCCTTACCTGTGGGTGCTCTGCCCAAAAGAATGTAAGATTTAATCCCTGAAACCACACAATGTATCTTGGAGTTTGTGGGCTAGATTTTTTTCTTAAGGACTAGGCCTTAAACCCAAATCACTCTGGCTCTCACTGATTAGCCAATAGCTCCCAGGCCAAGTTCTACGTGGTCATAGTTTGATTGGATCAGAGTGAATATAAATAGCAATTGTTTCTATTTTCGCCAGAAACCTGGAGGGTCTTCCCCTCCCAGGGTCTGGTTTTTGTTTTTGTTTTTTTTTTTTTTGACTAGGTAAAGAGGCCATTCTCTGACTCATTTCTTACCTAATCCTTAATCACTGAATGGGCATTGCTTCAGTCAAACTGAGACCTGTTAAAGATCTTAGCTTAAAGGTCTCATGATGGAAAATCTTATCCACATCCAAAGAAAGAACTATGGAGTTTGAATTCAGATTGAAGAATACTATTTGATCTTTTTTTTTTTCTTGTGTTGTGTTTTGTTTCCTCTTTCTGGTGGTTCCTCCTATTGGTTCTAATTCTTCCTTACAACATCAGTAATGTGAAAATATGTTTAATAGGAATGCATATGTATAGCCTATATCAGACTACGTGCCATCTTAAGAAGGGAGAGGGGAGGGAGGGAGAGAAAAAATTTAAACTCAAAAGTTTATGGAAGTGATTGTTGATAAATCAAAATAAATTAATAAAAAAAAAGAAAAAAAAAGATCTTAGCTTAAAAAGGTCAGCAGGGGTGGGGAACCTGAGGCCTCAAGGCCAAATGTGGTCTTCTAGGTTCTTGGGTACAGCCTTTTGACTGAGTCCAAGTTTTACAGAATAAGTTCTTTTATTAAGGGGATTTGTTCTGGGAATTTTGGATTCAGTCAAAGGGCCACACTTGAGGACTTAGAGGGCCACATGTGACCTTGAAACTACAGGTACCTCACCCCTTGGTCAAGGTCTCCCACTGCACCCAGGGTCATCTCCAGTCATCCTGATCTGTATCTTGCCACTGGACCCAGATGGTTCTGGAGGAGAAAGTGAGGCTGGTGACTCTGCAAAGCCCTCCCTCACTTAAATCCAATTCACGTGCATGTCAAGGTGTCACCTCCCTGATGTCATGTTTCTCTTCGAGAATGAAGGGCAAACAATTGTTTACAAAGTACCTTACATATTAAACCACCAACTGGCACTGCCATCCCATTCACCATAAGAACTGGGCATGAGTAGTCTCATATTCACCTGATGATGTGCTCAGATTTAAAATGACTTGGTTCCTACTTTGGACATTGGGCATACACTCTCAGGAAAAAACTCTCATGCAGAAAGAAGCTCCTTCTGTCTCTTTTCCTTTCTGCCAGCCTGTTCTATTTAGGCCATGCTTCCTGGCTCTCCTGCATCACTGCTCACCTCACCAGCTGACTCTACCTAGCAGCACCATAGTCCTCTTAGGGTATCTTACTACTTTAGCCAGATAGTCCCTCTCGATCCCTAACACAATCTTGATTTCTCAGTCCTTAAAATCCTTTCTCTCCCTCTCCTTTTTCAAAGCTTATGTAATATCTGATGGCTATCCCTCAGAAACTATTATTGTACCTTAAAGAGCCAAGTAAACTATTGAAAAACAGTCTAAGTTGTCTTTCTCATCATCCCAGCCCCTACCCTTTACCTATAAAGCTCTTTTCTTTGTGTCTTGGCTTTATGCATCTCTAACCTAAAATATGGTGCCACACTCATCAGCTGGCAGCATAGATATAACTCCCCTGAAAAAATGATCTCACCTGTTTCCTTAACTCTGTGACTTAGGTAGTACAGTCATTATCATCCCTATCGTAATACCAAAAACAAAAACAACACAGTTACCCAGAAAGGTGACGGACTCACCCCAGGTCACAAAGCTAATAAATGGTATGATTAAGAATCAAACCTAGGCCTCTTGATTCTTAATCCAGCGCCCTTTCCAAAAGAGGATGCCACTAGATTTCCAGACTGTTGCTTCTACCTTGTATTTGTGTTTTGATTTCTCAGAAGCAGGGCTTTAATCAGCACAGAGCAAATGGAGCTCTGACCATCATGGGCAGGCAAAAGAAAGAGAGAATTCTTCATCCTAGCAATGACCACCATCCTTGCACTTTGCCTTATAGTCCTCTGCACTGTTGGTACAACCGTGCTTGGGCTTCCTCAGCTAAAATCCTATCACTATAGCACTTAGCTTCTTAGTGTAAGGGTTAGACTATGAAAGACAGCATGTGTCGTTTCCCCGTATAACTACATTTCAATGGGACTGCCCAGTGCCTTCCCCTCCCCATCTCTAATAGCATTTTTCCTGGTCACAAATATTCCTAGTAACAGTTCTGGTCAGAAGTGGTGAGTGGTAGCATGAGCACTTTGCTTCAAACCAAACTTCCTCCCATAGGCTTAGTTCTCTGTGCTAACTGTTGCATTTCATTTTAGAACAGCTCCCCCAGTTGGTCGTTGCCCGTCAGTGCCATGATCAGATCCCTCCCACTGTGGGCTATTATAATCACTGGTTTTTGCCGATTCTGGTTAGTCACCAACCTGACGATATCACTGCCACTACTGATAAACATTATGTTTGATTTTGACATCAAAAATGTGAGTAGATGATCCCTGCTTTTTTTTTTTTTTGTGAATGCCTTATTCAATTCTCAGTTACTTTCTATGAAACTGATAAGACTGTCATGGGAACCAAACAATCCTAGAATTATGGAGTGAGAAAGAACCTTAGACATCATTTAGTCCGGCACTCTCATTTAAAATATGAGGAAATTGAGGCAGGTAGGCATGGGTGGTATGGAAGCTTGCTGGATTAGGGGTATTTAACCAAACAAAGATGGGTGCAAAAAAGTAAGTCTGGGTGAGCCAAATACAAGACTTGTCAACTTCATAATTTAACCCAGAGACAATCGTTGTGAGTGGTCTAGGCAATGAAGTATCTTGTTTCTGGTACCCATGTCATCCTTGCACACTTCTTCTCTTCACAGAATGGGATTCTGAGTGCACTGCCTTCTATTGCTGCGTGGATCTGTATTACCTTAGGAAGTCAAATGGCAGATTTCCTCTTGTCCAAGAAGATTCTGAGTCTAGTGGTGGTTAGGAAACTCTTCACAGTTCTGGGTGAGGACATTTCCGTGTGAGCAGTCAGCACTAGTGCATTTCTTACAGTAGACCTCAAAATTTTCCCAACAACGTGTCCATGGTTTTTTTGTGTGTCCTTGCTCCCCAGGAATGCTTCTCCCATCAGTATTCATCACAGCTGTGCCATACGTCAGTTCCATCACTGCTATTACCTTATTGATGCTCTCTATGGGAATAAGCTGCCTGTGTTACTCTGGATTCATGATTAATTCCCTAGATATCGCTCCCAGGTAGGGCTCCTGGCCTCTTCTCCTCTCCCTTATGCACTGTGGGGTAGTGGAAAGAGCACTGGTCCTGGAGCTAGAAAACCTGGCTACAAATCCTAGCTGTTATGTTTAGTATGTGATCTTGGAAAAAGTCCCAACTTCTTTAAGTCTTAGTTTCCAAATCTGTGGAATGGGGTGATTACTACCTAATTCATTGGATTATTATAAGGAAAGGACTTTGTAAACCAGTGGTGTCAAACTAAAAAAAAAAAAAAGAGGGACCAATAAACCACATGCAAGGATTCCTGTGGACTGCATACAGAAAAAAACCCCATTTTAACATTATTTATTTTTATTATATTTTATTTATCCCATTAAATATTCCCCAATTACATTTTAATCTGGTTCAGCCCACATTTGGGAGTGATGTGGGTCACATATGACCTGTGGGCCATATGTTTGATACCACTGTTATAATCTATAAATTGCTATGTAAATGTGACTTACTGTTACTATTATCCTTTTCCTAAAGGCATTTTCTTCCACTAAGGCCCTGTTCTGATGCTGCATAGTCCTGTGGAGGTGACATGTAGTTCTCAACTGCAATGGTAGCAGATCATATCTTAACATCTAGCTTTTCCTGACAATTTAGAAAGTCTTTAAGTGCAGAATTGGTGATGGAGACTGTGTCCATTGCTCCAGGATCAGCCTTTCTAAATGCAATTTACCAGTTACCAGGTACACAACAAGGCAATTCGTTTTTTGGCTACCTCTATTCTCAAAGACGATCTAATGAGCTACAGGAAGGATTTTAATCTGCATTTGTGGAGGGAATGAATACTCACACATGAAACTCCAGGTGTTTGAGATAATAAACTAATAAGCTCTTCAAAACTCATTAAGCCTTACCCCTAATGCAACTTTGCCCCTTACTGTAATAATTCTCAGATATATGTGCCACACGATCTGAGGCAGATGCCTAGATGATCAGATTTGCTCCCATTTGTTTTGGGTCTGCCGATCATTTCAATAAAGTAGAAGCAGACCACCCATAAAGTTGAAGTTGATAGGGATAAGTGCTATGGAAACAGAGCTGCCAACAGGATGTCTATCTTTCAGTTGAGTCTAAATGACTGGCGCCTGCTCACCCATTTCCAGAAATCATTAAATGAACCAGCAAATGGTTTCTAACCACTTGATGATTTTCATCTCTTTGTACCCAACCACAATTTGCCAAAGTTAATTAGTGTATTGGCATCGATTCTTGTCAGCCTTATAGTATCAACCAGTATCATTCCTATTTTAATCACAGCAGACAAAATAGAGGAAGGGGCAGAAATTACTGATGTGGGCTCAAGATATCATTATTGCCAAGCTATTGGAGATGAGGATTTTGATAAGTGGGATAATATTCTTGATATCCTTGGAAAGTGCTAAATATCTTGTATCTGATGATTTAAAAACACCTGCCACTTGAATAAGGACCAAAGGAATAGTTGATGCCTTTGGACAAAAGTAATTTTATATGACCCTAATGCTTACTTTTTTGTATTAGTGCATACACATGGATATGCACATGTACACATATATAGTATGTCTATATAGTAAATATATGTGTATATATGTGAATATACTTACAGTTTGTATCTATATATATAATTTGTATGTGTACATATATCACATATGTATATGTATGTATGCATACATCCATGTGTGTGTGGGACCCTCCAATAGAATGTAAGTTCCTCAAGAGAAGAGACAGTTTTCACATTTTCCTCTTATATCCCCAGAATCTAGTACAGTACTGCCTAGCCTGTGGCAGGTGTTTAATAAATGTTTGTCTAGTTGAATTGATCCTGGATTGAAAGTCTACTGCCTACCAGGACCATAGAACCCATAGGGCATTGATCTATAAAAATGGGGGACCTCATAGCTTCATTATTTGCTGTGTGAGTTTAATGTGCTTTACTCAGGATACAGAGCTTGTGTTGTGGACCCAGAAGAAGAGTTGGATTGCCACCTGTGGTCTCCTAAAGGGTGGAAATCTAATTTGATGCCTCCTTGGTTCAAATGTGCTACTGTATCACAGTGTTCCCTGGAAGGTTGATATGTATTGAGCCATGTACTATATGATTACTGTCTACCCGTCCCATGTAGAAGAGGTTAAAACTCATTTTGCTCCTTAGAAGAGATTGACTTCTATAAGTTACTGCTGACATCATTTTTTCCCAGCGACCATATTCAAATAATCAAATAAATTTGTGATTTCTTTGAGCCAGTGATACAGATCAAAGCTCAACTATGTCTGCCCATCTTGTGAAACTGCCTTCCATATCCTCCTAGGGGTTCACGACAGGGGGTCCACCCTGGTGCTCGAGCCCATCCTAGCTTTCTCTTGACAGTGGCAGGGTACCAGTGTAGGACTCAAGTTGTACAGCTCTCATCCCTCAACTTCACTACTCCTCCAGATCATCTTCTCTTCCCATCATAGATTTCCTTGATGACAACTTTTGCTCTTCTCCTTTAAAATTCCTCATAGCTTATATGTTGCAGATGGTTCACACCCACAATACACCTATCCATTATCTTTTCATGATATTAATTTTTAAATCTTTGGAGATTATTGTATTTCATGTATTGCAGCTCAACAGCAAAATTTGTACAATGTTGCTATCAAAAAGATAGTCATTTGTTTCTATGAGAAGCTTGGGGTCATTAAAAGAGCCTTGCCACATCCTAAAGATAATTCAACCCACTTTCCTGCTCCTGTTCAACTTTTGTTCCAATTTGTTGTTCACTTATACTTTCTGATCCATATAAACAAACTATTGAATAAGCTCTATGACATTCCCATCCAACTATATGTCATAATGTTGGCACTAGATATTCTTCATCTGCTTGGTCTTTCCTGTGAGGATGGTTAGGCCAAACTATTTGGAGCAGTTATAGAACTCTTTGAGGAAGTTCTGAAATGTGCTAGGACTTAATGCAACCAGCATAATATCATTTGCAAACAAAAGCTTCTGAAGAATCTCAAAATCCATACAGAAACTCTCTTCAAGTGGGACTTTGCACTACTGTGAACATTTTTGACTTTATGTGTCTCCAGATGTTTATCAGGTGAAGATCAGAAGGGCATTGAACAGGGCTCTTCATTGTATTGAAGCTACCTAGTATCACAGTGTATGTCGGCTTAATCTGAAAATGTCTTATCATGTTCTAAATAGAATTTCCCTACTTTTTCATCCTCAGCAATTGATATTGGTGAAGAAACTTCAACACTTCAATTATTTGCATGGTGGTCTTTTGGCAGATACTCCTCAGTATTGTAATACAAGATCACCAGATATCCCAAGAAACGATTATATTAGTTGTTGCCTTTGGGCATGCAATAGATCTACTTTGCCAATTCCTTTCTTTATCTTTTTTTTTTTTTTAGGTAATTGGGGTTAAGTGACTTGCCCAGGGTCACACAGCTAGTAAGTGTCAAGTGTCTGGTCTGAGGCCGGACTTGAACTCAGGTCCTCCTGACTTCAGGGCCGGTGCTCTGTCCACTGCACCACGTAGTTACTCCCCTTTCTTTATCTTTCCATGGAGTACCTGTGACTCATCCTTCTATTTAGCTGTAAAGTCCTTTCTTAAGATTTCATTTATTGGGGCAGCTAGGTGGCACAGTGGATAGAGCTCCAGCCTTGGAGTCAGGAGGACCTGAGTTCACATCCGGTCTCAGATACATAACACTTCCTAGCTGTGTGACCCTGGGCAAGTCACTTAACCCCAACTGTCTCACCAAAAAAAAATAATAATAAGATTTCATTTATTGAAAAAATGTGGATATTGATGTGATTCAACTTTTGGGCAATGTATCCATTGTATTCCCCAAGGTTGGTGTCTCCTGGTGTTGTTTTGTTGTTTTGTTTTGTTTTTAGAAAAAGGAGTTTATGATTTTTAAAAGATATACTACACCTATGTATTCTACAACTCTTAACCTTTCTCATTCCTTCTTCCTGGACTATGCTTTCCTACATATTTCTCACCATCCTCATCTTCCCCCACCTTTGTATTAAAGCCAACTAGTATCAAAGTGTGTGTTGATTGAATTTTAAGGGTCTTACCACAGGTCTTTATAGAATTTCCCTAACTCTTCATCATCAGTAACAAGTGTTGGTACATAAGCTGCAATTATTCATATGGTCTTTTGGCAAATACTTATCAGTACTGCAATACAAGATGATCAGATAGCCTATGGAAAAATATTTTTATGTCCATTTGACCTATAGTAAATGTACTCTGTCAACTCCTTTCTTTGCCTTTCCATGACTCATCTATGACTCAGACTTCCATTTAGCTGCAAAGTCCTTTCTTTGGGTTTCATTTATTAAAAAAATGTCAAGATTTATGTGATTTGACTCCTCTAACAGTATGTCTATTTGTTGTTCATCAGGCCAGCATTTTACATTTGGAGTACTAACAATCAAATTCAAGTTTATACATGGTCCAAAACCGTTGTGATTCTTGCACTTTTTGACCTCTTTCCACCATTCTGTTACAGCAGAAGTGAAAGGGGCTACACAGAGCTTAGAGTCATTTTTTTCTTTATTTAATGGCTTGTGATAGCCAAAAATCACATCACCAAGTGGCCAGGTACTGGCAAAGAGATCCCCATACTTAGCAAAGCTGGTCCTGCTTTCAGTCTGTTGCCACGGTCATACTCAAAACCTTGCCAACATGGTAGAACCTTACAAAGCTTCTCCCTTGCTGCCATAGCCTTGAAGAACCCATAGTCACCTCCATACTGCAATGAGGCATCAGAGTAGGATTTTGTAAAGGCAATGCCCATGTTCTATAAAAATATGTGGGGAATGTGTTGCTGTTCAAATAATAGGTTAATTGCTTATGTCAGGCTAAATGAAAAACCAGTTTAACCTGGCAAAATTTTCTTCTCTCAGGTATGCTAGCTTTCTCATGGGACTTGGAGGAGTTTTTACTATGATACCAGGAATCCTTTCACCCACTGTTACTGGTTATCTCATAAAGCAGGTAAAACATAATCACATTTTTTTTAAAAAAAAGATTTAGACTCTGCCTTGATCAAACATTTTATAGAAAGAAACACAATATGGGAACACAAAATAAACTCCAAACAGTTCTTATCTCAAAATAATTGAATTTTACTTGTCAAGTGAGACCTAGGTGATTAAAAAAAAAAAAAACAACAAAGAGGAGAGGAAGTGTCCAGAGAATGTAGAGTCAATAAAAGGAAAGGAATACAAATTTATATAGCACCTACTATGTGCCAGGCACTATGCTCCATGTTTTTGTTTTTGTTTTTGTTTTTTACAAATATCTCATTTGGTTCTCACAACAATACTCTAAGATAGGTATTGTTATTATCCTCATGTTATAGTTAAGAAAACTGAGGCAAACAGAACTTAAGTGACTTGCCCAGGGTCACACAGCTAATATATGCCCCAGACTAGTTTTGAATGCAGTCCTTCCTGATTTCAGGCCTGGAGCAGCACAGGTAGTGATTTCTTTGGTAGATCCAAACTGTGATTAATTCTGCTCTAATATAGCCTTCACAGGGATCATTTTGCTACTTTTCTTATATCTATGTAACAATGAATTTAATGATCTAAAAGGCAATTAGAATACGAGAGATTTTTTAAATAGCAATCACACCAAAACTTATTTTTAAATAAAAAACAACCTTTTATTTATACTGCTGTCTACATTTCCTAAGAACAACCATGAACTAATATGTAAACACCCAAATAAAACAGAACAAGCTATGATTCCATTATAAATGCCTTTTGCCCCATCCATGTTTTGAGGCTTGTTTTTTTTGCTGCCAATCATTCACTTTCACCATGATGTGCCATGAAAATTCCATAGTAGATCCTATCTACCATGGGACTCTTCTACCTTTTAACTGAAGGGAGAATTTTGGGACTTAGAAGAGTTGAAAATACCTGGAATGATACTAGTGTCAGTTTTATACCCACAGGACTCAGTATCCGGCTGGAAGAACGTGTTCTTGCTGTCAGCTGCAATCAATCTGGCAGGAATGATCATCTATGTCATCTTTGGCCGTGCAGACATCCAGGACTGGGCTAAGGAGGAAAGACTCACCCGCTTCTGAATGTTTCTGAATGCTAAGATGAAGTCAAAAGTTACCTAGACATTTCTAAAGGATTTTCATTTGCTGTCATTTTATTTTTTCAGTCACTTGAACTGATGCATTCTGAATTGCTTTTAGCTCTTTTCCAGTTATTATTTTGAGATGTAAACTGTGTATGCTAAACATACTTTCTAAAGAGTTTATATGCAGCCTGACTTACTAAGGTGGGTTATATATACAGCCTATTTAGATGTCCTAACTGTTTAACTGAACTTTCAGGTGCCCACTCCATAAGGCAGAATTCTACAAATGCCCCAGGAGAATTCATTGATCCGGGAAGGACATGATCTTACAGTAACTGGTGGAAGAATTGTTATTTCCTAAAAGCACTGAATTTACTTCATGACATATTTCATCTTTGTCCCTATGATGTAGTTCTTTATACCTAGATCACTAAAATTACTCATTGGGGCCTTAGTAACTTTTGCATTGGTGTCTTTTCTCACAGGCTCAATTTCTTCCTGACCAGGTTGATTGCAATTAATCTTGTTTTATAGAGGAAATCTGTGAATGTTTTTTTGCCCTTTTTAAAAATTAAGAACACTTAACCACATGCCTAGAGGTAGTAAGGAAATGAACACATCTGGAATGGCTCAATCAGAAATGAGTCATGGCAGGTCTCCAGCATCGCACCAGGAAATAGTTACCAGAGGATACAGAGTCAAGTTTTGGAGACCAAAGCTTGGACTTAAACCCATAGAGTGTAAAAAGTTAAAAGGGATCTATGAGGTCATATAGTGCAGTCCACTCATCTTGCTAATAAGGAAACAGGAAAAAAAGATGAAGCAACTTCACTTTCAGAGAGTCTAGTGGCAAGGGAAGTAGGGAAGATCACTGGATATCAATTGCAAGTTGAAACAAGGTGGGTAAATCTCACTGGTTAATTGAATGAATGGATGAATGAATGAATGAATGAATGAATGAATGAATGAATGAATGAATGAATGAAAAAAGCATTTATTAACCATTTCCTATGTACAAGGTAGGGCAACTGGGTGGTGCAGAGGATAGAGTGCCAGGCCTGGAGTCAGGAAGACTGTCTTCCTGAGTTCAAATCTGGCCTCAGACACTTACAGGCTATGTGACCCTAGGCAAGTCACTTAACCCTGTTTGCCTTAGTTTTCTCATCTATAAAATGAGCTGAAGAAGGAAATGGCAAACCACTCAAGTATCTCTGCCAAGAAAACTCCAGATGAAGAGTTGGACGCAACTGAAGCAACAAAATCACAATGTATCAGGTACTGTGCTACATCGTGAGGATACAAATACAAAAATGCAGGTAGCCCCTGTTGTGTGAAAGACAACCCATCTCGGGAACGATAGCCAGGGAGGGATGTTTTGGTAGTGTTAATCGTACTATTGTTTTCAAAGCCAAAGTCAAAAAGCAAGAGGGGATGACACGAAGGCAGAAAATAGAGCACATTGAAGATGTGTGAGGAACAGAGGGTAGGACAGTACGGTTGGACTATAGAGTGTGTGGAGGTGAGCGTGTACAGGAGGAAGCTGGCTGGTAAAAAGTCTTTAATTTAAAAAAGAAAATTTTATATTTGATCTTAGAAATAATAGAGATCCAATGTAGTTTTTTTTTCAGTAGGAGATTAATATGGTCCAAGCTGTGATTTGGAAAATCATTTTGTCACTTGTGTGGAGGATAGATTGAAGTAGGGAGAAATTTGAGGCAAGGAGTCAAGGTTATAAAGGAGGATACAACATTTCTCGGGAAGAAGTGTTTTAAGGATGAAACAAAAAAAATGATTTGAAGAGATAGAAGGAAATTTTAACCTATAACTATTAGCAAAGTAAGAATGTGACATAGAAAAGCAATGAAAGCCACTGAGTCTAAGGAACTAAATAAGCCCTGTTATTTAGTCTATTGTTGCAAGGAGTGGGGTGGAGGATGGTCCTGGACCATCTCTAGAAGAAACAGCTTTTGTTCCAAAGCAAGATGATGCAGAACCAAAGAGTCCATCAGGTAAGGAGTCATTTCACCACGGTCAGACAAAAACAAAAACAGTAGCTGCTCATGAGTCTCTGTCAAATGTTAATAAGGCAACTATGTGCTGGCCCAGCATAAAAAAAAAAGAGAGATATGTTGTCTTCCTGTACTTTGTACCTGGGACCTAATGGCGAATCTTCCTCAGCTTGTCAATTTGATGATAACTGACCATTTCTGCTGACTTGTATAGAGACAAACATACCACCTAAAGGAACCTGAAAAGTCTTGTTAAGGATTATGTTTCCCTGAACAACAAATGAAAGCTTTAAGGACATGGATTGTATCTTCATTACTAATACCAGTGGAAGGTAAGGGATTCAGAAGAGAAAGACATTTTGGGGAGGTGATTGACTGGCTAATAAGATGGTATCTGAACTTGGGATTTGTGTTTCTGGGCCATGGTTAAAAATATAGGAATGATGATGGGATGGGATATAATTCACCAAGGTCAATAAAAATATGCTTCTCTAAAGCCTAGCAAGTTTTATTCAATTAATCTATCAACCAGCATTTATTAAGCATTCATTAAGAGCCAGGTACTGTGCTGAGTACTAAGCATACAAAAGAAAAAAAAGGTTGAAACTAGTGCTCATCTTCAAGGAGCTTATATTCTATAATTAAGAACCATTCAAAGAAAAGGTGAGGAGGACAGAGGAAACTGACCCCAAAGATATGCCAAGCCTGATAAACCAAGAATGCTGGGTAGATATGAGGAAATGGAATAACAAAAGAGTGGTAATTTATGGGAAATAATATTCAAAAAGAGGGCCAGTGATAAAACCCATGACCTCAGATGCTTGTAAGTGGTCTATTTAGGATTTACACAATGGAAAATTACCTAACAATGAGTGACTCAAAAGTGGAATAAGCTACTTTAAGAAACAGTGAGCTTCTTGCCACTGGTAGACTTCAAAAAAAGTCTGAATTTCCACCTGCCAGGGATATTGTCTAGAAAATTCTTGTTCAGGTTTCAGGTGGATTTCACAGTCTCTGACTACCGGCTTCATTGCCTCCTTTCTTAATGCCAAGATTGTTTAATATCTCCACAACATTAATTCCTGAATAGGTCACATCTGAAGTCCTGTGTCTAGCTTGGGACATTGATTTTCAAAGTATATAGATGAGGGGCAACCAGGTGACTAGAGTCAGGCGAATCTGAGTTCAAATCTGACCTCAGACACATAACACTAGCTGTGTGACCCTGGGCAAGTCACTTAACCCCAATTGCTTCACCCAAAATAAATAAATAAATAAATAAATAAATAAATCTGTAGATGAGCTGGTATAGGAGTTGGAGGGTGAGAGGATTGGGAACTATTCCATGTAAGAATTAATTGAAAGAGCTCTGGACATTTAGCCTGGGAAAGGGGGAGATTTGGGAGGGAAAACAGCATTTCTCATATTTGAAGGACTGTCATATGGAAATGAGATTGGACTTATTCTGTTTGCCCCATGAATACAAAAGGAGGAATAACTGTTAGAATTTGCAAGCCAGATCCAAGTCTGATCCAAAGAAAATCTTCCAAAGAATGAGTTGTCCAAAAGCAGCAAGGTTTCCTTATTTCTCCTTTGTTTGAGATCTTCAGTCAAGAACTGATTGGTTAATTTGTGGGTTGTTTAAAAAAAGATGGGGGGGTGGTTCTTGGGCAGGTAGATGTTGGATCAGATGGCCTCGGCAGTCTCTTCAAACTCTTAGGTTCTGTGACCCTATTATTTGCCCAAGATCATAAAGTTAGTAAAAGGCAGAGCCGTCAGGCCTTGTAACTTCCAGTCCTTCGTCTTTCCTCTACTCTTGCTGAATTGCAGTACCTTCTCTGGCAAGAGGTCAATTCTTCTCAGAATCCTTCAAGAAAATATTCCCTTGGGGACAGGCAGGTGGCGCAGTGGATAGAGCACCGGTACTGGATTCAGGAGGACCTGAGTTCAAATCCAGCTTCAGACACATAACACTAGCTGTGTGACCCTGGGCAAGTCACTTAACCCCATTGCCTAGCCAAAAAAAGAAAAAAAGAAGAAAATATTTCCTCAAATAAGTGATGCATAGAAGAAATATCCCCCTTCTCCACCAAGCCACTAACTCTGCATTTTCCATGTACAGCTAGAGCTGTAGACTTGGTCAAATAGACTTGATTTCAACTCCATAGAACAAGATTCCCCTCCCAGAATAATCTGATTATTTCAGATTTTTCACCATGCTACTAACTCAGCCTTGGATATTCAACACCTTGGATATTTCCACCTCCCTCAGCCTCTTCTCCTCTCTGATTGGAGGACTTGAGGGTAGAGTACTAAACTCTACTCAAAGCTTTGCTTTATAGAGCATAGACCTCGATCTTTACAACTCACTCCACTTTCCATCTGCAGCTCTGCTTGGTTTCAAATCCATGGAACGAGATGCCCCCTCTCTGGGTACACCCTGGTGTCCACTCCCTTTCCAGTTTCCGTTTGTGTGTTGTCTTCCCTCCTTAGGGGTATGGACTGTCTTCCTTTTTCTAATTCGTATCCCCAGTGCTTATCACAGTACCTCACATATAGCAGGTACTTAATAAATGTTTATTGAATTGAATTGGAAAGTGAGCAAGACAGAGCTCAGTAAAAGGTAACCCAGTGGGCCAATCTTGCTGAATCTTCTTCTCTCCAGCCCAAGTACACCCAAGTTCTTGGGGATCCTCATATGGCATTACCTTGAGACCCTTTACCGTCCATGAGTAGTTAAAGTCATTCTTGAGTCATTCCTCCATTACAGCTTTATGATCTTCCAATTATTCTTCTGGCAGAGCAGTCTTCCATGAGAATATCTCTGTATTTCTTCAGTTACTAATAGTACATAGGCACCTTGTGGGAAGGAATGGTTTGATTCTCATTTTGTTTTGTGTTCTGGTTTGGTCTGGTCTGGGTTTTGTATCCACAGCACCATGCATAATACCCAGCATACATTTAGTGAGAAATGAATAGATTTTTGATGATAAATTGCTTCTCCTTAGTCATTCTTTCCTCTCTGGCTTATGGATTTTGACAATGAAGTAATTTCCTGGATATACAATGCTTCTCTTTTAAACACAATGAAAAATTTATTAACCATCATTTTTGTAAAAAAAAAAAAAAAAAGCATTGGGGATTCAAAGAAAAAAAAAAATGGGTCATACC